TGTCGAACGAGTGCTCGTCCTGTGACTCCTATCCACACACATCAGAAAACTACATACTCTCCATATGTACAGACGTCATCCTCATAAAAAACAAAAAACAAAAAGAACAGTTGTCACTAGTATACATATGTCTCATGAAAGCGAAGAAATAACAATTGTACCACAAAGAACCTCCGCGAAACTAAAGTACATATGAGTCCAGACTCCTGAGACTACACACAAAACGTCCGACGCCTTGGACTACACAGGAGTCCTGGGAAGGCAAAAAAAAAACACATAAATAACTGTGAAACTAAAGTACATATGATAAACTACCAAAAGACAGCGGCCAACGAACCGAACAATGGGGAACATCCACATAAAACCCCCCAAAATACAACCCCCTCCCAAAACATATCTATTGCCCCCCGCCCCCGCCTCCTCGTCGTCGTCCCCGTGTCGATGGTGTCTTATGTGTCCTTGCCGCGGCCGATCTCTCCCTCTCTCTCTCCCTACGCCTCACAACCTCGATGGGTTCCTCCTCCAGTAGGCCCGGTGTAATCTCCCCCTCCTCCCTCTCTCTGGGTCAGTACGGTCATCTGTCGTACCGCCCTCCACCGCGTCATCAACACCACCTCCACCCTCCGCAGGATGTGACGCATCCTCGGCGGCGACCGGTGAAGGATGACGCAACACCAACGCCCACGACGTACTGCCTCCAGCGTCGTCTACATGTGCATCGCCCTTTACAGGTCCACATGCGTCAACCCCAATCGACCCGTGTGTCGATCGACCTGGACCGGTGCTGTACGCAGGTGCAAGACGGTCGGCATCACCCGCCCCATCATCGCCCTCCGCATCGGGTATGCGGCCTCCATCCAACTCGCCTGAATCGTCGTCCATGGGAACTGCCTCCTGAGTGGCTGGATCGCCTGGCTGCAATGTGCCCGCCGCACACAACCCAACTATGATGTCGGACACTGTCGGATCGCCATACTCAGACGCACCTAACTCTCCTCCCACGGCAGACCCGGAGTCCACATCTCCCTGGGGCGACGTCTCGGGCACTGCGGTATCGGGTATCGCTGCGTCGGCTGGAAACCCAAACCCGTGCGGGACTGTACGAACGCTATGCTCTACCCCACCCACATCACGGACTACAGTACCCGTGTCCAAGTCTCTAACACGCTGCTGCTCCGCCATGTACTTATCTCTGCCCACCCACTCTCTTTGCAACTGCTGCAGCCGCTGCTCCTCCTCTCGATCCATCCGAGCATGGAGCTCCTCCACGGACTCTGGACCACCACCCTGCACAGGATGGTACTCGGCCTCATCCCCCACTCTCTCTCGCCCATCAGCCCGCCCTCGAACACCGTTGCCCGCAAATCCTGGTCCAAGGCCCTGAAAGTCACTCGTGCGCAGCAGCCGCAGCTCCCTCTGCTGACTGTCGCCTCGAGGTGCCGAGGCGGGCGTATGCTGGCTCGACAAATGCTCCTCATCTCTGATGTCGTCTAGGTGGTCCGACGCCTCGCGTCTACCACCTGAAGTCGATCCCGCCTGGGTCTGCTGCAGCCTCGCCGATCTCCTGAGACCCTCGGCGGCAGGCGCGGGCCGCGCGGCTCCCTGCTGCGCCAACCGTGCTCTGCGAAGCAGTAACGACTCGTCGTCGTCGTCGTCGTCGTCCACGTCGTCCTCGTCTCGCTGTCCACCATCCAACCCTATATCGGTGGCGGGGATGGGATCGTCGTCGCTCTCCCGAATGAATGTGCAGCGTGGCTGGAATCCATCGGCTCCTCCTCCGTATGTGTAGTAGAGTCTCTCCGCACTCTTATCTACACCAGGTGGCAAATCCTCTCCGACCTCCGTGTCCGTCTGCTCCTCCGACGCCTGCACTGGCTCTGCTAGCGGTGGAGGCACGTAGTCGTAAGGATGGAGTATCTCGGCTCTGGCACCGAAAACCTCGGCAACCCCCGCTGGCCGAT